GCCGGCCCGCTCCCATCCGCAGCAGCCTATGCTGCCGCCCGAGCCAGCCCCCCAGCGCCGAACTCCTCGTCGTCTCCTCCGCGGTAACCCAGCCGGAGCAGAGGCACACCCTCCGTCGGCCGCCTCTTCCGTTGCGCCAACGTGCTGCAGGCCAATCAGAGAAGAGTGGGGGCGGGCTGACAAGCACACGTCCAATCGAGTCCGTGACTCCAGACCGAGCGACCGTGCCGCCGTCCAATGGGAAGCTCCCACGGCTGGGCGAGAGGACGGGGAGGGGAGCCGAGGTCGGGGGAGAAGAGGGGTGGGGTTACTGAGGGGAGAGTGATGGCGGCACCGCCCAATGGACACGTGGGTGTAGGGGCCCGCGCCCCCTCCCTTTCGCCCTGGCCGGTGGACTGGTTGGCGCCCCAGGACCCAAGAACTCTCCCGGGACGCCGCCGCGCGCCCCCAAGTCCCTCCCTCCCCGCCTGCTCGAGCCGGTCCTCTCCCGGCCCGCTCCCTCCTCCAGCCCAGAGGGGGCCGGCAACCTATATGGCCGCCAGAGGTTGGCAAACGGACGGGCTTGAACAACCGCAGCTGACCTTAGTCTTTGTCCCTCGGCCTGGGTCTGTAGCGGCCGGATAGGCCGTTAGGCCCTCGGCGGTAACACCCTTCTCCCTTTGGGCTAAGTGTGTTCCCCACCCCCCCATACCACCTGCGTTGGAGATTTAAATGTTCCTGGTACCAGAAGGAATGAAAGGACTGGGGTTGGTCTCCATAGCAACTGGAAGAAAGGTGGGTTAGAAATCCTTCGCCACCCTCCTGTGGTGAAGGAGGGGGCGTGGAAGCCCGGGAAGCAGCGCTGGCTTCCTGAAGCAGAGTCCAGACCCCCTTTCACTGTGTGCACCCGGCCACATAGGATTTGTTTGCGGTCTTGGCCTTGGAGCGTGGGGGTTTATGTTGAAACATCCTGCTTCCTTCTCTTTGGGAGAGAGGAAATGGATACCTCCGGCCCTACAAAAAGCCGACCACTAAAAAACTGTTGTTCCAAAAATCCCTTCTCAACCAGAGACTACCCTAACCTGGAACGAATCACAGTGCTGGACATTACATATCTTTCTACATCTTCCTCTTCCCTCCCCCAAAATGTGGTCTGTAACCTGAGACAGTTGCCATCCATGTCTGTGAGCTCTGATAAGTCATTCTAAAGAACCAAAGAATCCTTTTTCACACCTTAGCTGCCAAGATGAACTCCAACATCCACACAACATCTGAAATAGGTGGAAAGTTTTTATCGTTTTCAGGGTCTCTCAACATCTCACTTCATTCTCACAGCAAGATGGACACAAAATTTCAGCTACTCTCTGTCTTGTGATAGTCAAAAGAAGATACAGACTAAATGAAATTTCAGTGAACTTCTGCAAGGACATTTCATCTCCAGTATCCATACATGCATGTCTTCACTAGGCATAAAAATGTGTTAAGTCATTAAAGTTCATATAAAAGAAATGATTATGCATATACTAGTGGCAACTAAGCATGATATTAGTAAACCTGAAAAATACAGATTGAGCAAAAGAACATATACTGTACGATTCCACTTATACCTAATTCAGAATTTGTTGATCACCAAGATGGTGCGAGACCAGATAGCATTTTGTTCTGTCCACAGGGTCCCTACGAGTGGGCGCTAACACCACCACAACCAACCACCACCATTCCAGTTGCATTCTGAATCAACTATGGGGACAGAATTTATTCTATATAATAAAGCTCATCTATTTTATGTATGCAGTTGCATACAGTGTGACAAATATATACAACATGGAGCCACCACAATCAAAACTTTCCTAGCACCCCAAAAGTTTCCCTGCACCCACTCCTTCCCAGTCATTCTCAAGCAACCACTGATGGGATTTACAGTATGTCTCTGTCAGTTATATTTGTCATTTCCAGGGATTCGTATCATGCAGTCATTCTTATTTACTCTTCATAGTTAGTTCCCTTCAAGGAACCCAACATGCTTTTTCTTCTTCCTACTTCTGGGCTTGTCTCAGGAGAAAAACAGGGGGATTGAAAGAACCCTGAGAGAAGAAGCTTTGACTTTATATTTGTACAGTCTCCACTGGCCCAGTAGACATAATAGTTGGCACATAGTGGGGTTTCAAATGTCAAAGTAGAACGAACTCCAGAGACAGTAATTGGATCAGGGCTGTAATTTGGCACCAGGCTACTCTTAAGTTAGAAGTCACCTGATGCCAATCAACTTCTGTGCAAGGGCCAGCTTGATAGGACCTGATTAGTGATTATGGAAGAATTCTTCAGAGTAAGAAGGCATCTGGGATAGTAGTTCTCAGACCAGGCTACATATGGGAATCAACAGGGGGAACTTTGTGAGTAAAAAAAGAGAGAGACCCAGGCTACATCCCATTCCAATTAAATCAGAATCTCTAGGGATTGGATTCACCCATCAATATTTTTGTTGGTTTTGTTTCGTTTGAAAACTTCCCAGGTGGGAGACCCAAAATCCATCTGTAGACAATTGGACATCCCCTTACAGAAGGGTCACAGGAAGGGATGAGCCTGACAGGTGCAGTATAGCACTGACAAAACATACAACTTTCCTCTAGTTCTTTAACGCTTCCCGCTTCCTACTATCATGATCCCAATTCTACCTTACAAATCCAACTAGACCAGAGGATGGACACTGGTGCAGATAAGAAACTGGAAACACTGAGAATGATGATGGCAACAAATGGACCTATGTGCTTGACACAATGGATGGATGTAGGGATTGTGTTAAGAATTGTATGAGCCCCTAATAAAATTATTTTTTTTAAAAGAGCTGGAAACACAGGGAATCCAGGACAGATAAACCCCTCAGGACCAATAATGTGAACAGTGATACCAGGAGGGTAAGGGAAGGTGGGGGGAGAAAGGGGGAACTGATCACAGATCACAATGATCTACATATAACCTCCTCCCAGGGGGACGGACAACAAAAAAGTGGGTGAAGGGAGACATTGATCAGTGTAAGACATGAAAAAATAATTTATAAATTATCAAGGATTCATGAGGAAGGGAGGATGGGAAAAAATGAGCTGACACCAAGGGCTCGAGTGGAAAGAAAATGTTTTGAAAATGATGACAACAAATGTAAAAATGTTCATGATACAATGGATGGATGGGTTGTGATATGAGCTGTACAAACCCCGAATAAAATGATTTTTAAAAAAAGAAAAGACTTCCCAGGTGATTCTGATGTGCAGTCAAGGTTGACAGCTTGTTCTGCGCTAACCATCAAGTATTAGTGTGTAAAGAAATGCAGTCTCAACCCCCTCCCCCTCCAGATCACCTTATCAGCATTTTTAACTTGAGCCCCAAGTGATTCATACATGCGCTAAAGTTTTGACGCATTGGTTAAGACTACATACAAGCCGTGGAGTTAGTCAAACCTTGGTTTTAATCATAGCTACACTCATTGAGTGACTTTTTTTTTTTATCAAACTGCTAACCTAGCTAAAACCTTATATGAACAAACTATGCCAAGGCCCACACAGTGGAATGCTATACAGCCATTAAAAAGAATTTAGGGTATTTTTTTCTTTTTGCAGACTACAGAATGATCATTATAATTTACATAAAAAACAGGCTTGAGGGGAGATTGACTATCGTGTTAAGTAAATATCTTATTAAACAAATGAAATAAAATGTGCAGAGCAGTAGGCATTGTGTCTGGCACATTGTAAGTACTTCACAAATACCAGCTATTGTTATTCCTTTGCTTTGCAGCAACCACCTGGTCGATCACTGAAATGATATGGTGATTCAGCAAGGCATCTAGAAAAGCCTCGTGCTCTGTGGACACAATAAGAAAAACAGACTTCGTTTTATTCTAGAAAATTTCAAAACAGCACAAAAGTACCGCGAACATTCACATACCATTTTACATGGGTCCCTAATCTGTCAACACCCATGTAAACATCAGTCAAGAAGTCAAAAGATCTATGGCATTAGGCAAATCTGCTGTAAAAAACCTCTGTAAAGTTTTAAAGAACAAATATCAGTTTGGTGCTCTAAGGACTATGGTGCATCTGATCCAAGCCACAGTCTTTTCATTAGCCTCATATACATGTGGAAGCTGGACAGCGGATAAGGACAACCACAGAAGAATGGATGCATTTAAATGAAGGAGTTGGCAAAGAATATTGAATACCATGAACTTCCAGAAAGAACAAAAAAATCAAATTAAACAAGCGGTCATCTAGCAGGGAAGCAACAAAGCTCACATGAAAGAAGCACACCGCCCACATGGAAGAAGCACACCAGCCTATGCAACCACGAGGTGTCAAAGGGATCAGGTGTAAGGCATCATCAGAACAAAAAATCTTACCATGGTGAATGATGGGGTGAGTGTGGAGTGGAGACTCAAAGCCCATGAGTTGGCCACTGGAGATCCCCTTGCAGAGGGGTCTCGGGGAGGAGACGAGCCAGTCAGGGTGCGATGTAGCAATGATGAAAAATACAACTTTTCTCTAGTTCCTAAATGTTTCCTCCCCGCTCCCACTAGCATGACACAAATTCTACCTTGCAAATCTGGCTGGACCGGGGGATGTACACTGATACAGATAGGAACTGGAAACACAGGAATCCAGGGAGGATGATCCCTATAGGACCAGGGGTGTGAGTGGCGATACTGAGAGGGTAGAGGGAGAGTGGGTAGGAAGGAGGGAACCGATTGCAAGGAACTATTGTGACCTTCTCCCTAGGGGACGGGCAACCGAAAGGTGGGTGAGGGGAGACATCGGACAGGGCAAGATATGACAAAATGGCAATTTTTAAATTATCAAGGGCTCATGGGGGAAGCAGGAGCGGGGAGGGAGGGGAAAAATGAGGACCTGATGCTGGGGGCTTGAGTGGAGAGGAAATGTTTTGAGAATGATGAGGGCAATGAATGTACAAATGCGCTTTACACAATTGATGTATGTATGGATTGTGATAAGAGTTGTATGAGCCCCTAATAAAATGATTTTTTTTAAAAAGGAGTTGTATGAGGCACCAATAAAATGATTTTTTTTAAAAATAACCAAAAAGAAAAATGAAAGAAAGAAGCACACCAGCCTGTGTGATCACGAGGTGTCATGTTGACTGGATCAGGTATCAGGCATCAGAAGACCCAAAACAAACAATCACAGTGATGTGAATGAGGGTTGCAGTGGAGACGTGTGGTAGTTATATAATTACTTGACCGTTTGAGGATTAAAGAGTCAAGGGGTGGAGTATAGCCTGTCAATCAAGATATAACCAATGAGGCCTCTGTGTGGGTATGGCCTTCTCATTAGAATTCTGGGAACTCCTATAATTCCTCCTTGGAGGCGAGACGGGAGATACTTCTCTCTCTCTACTCACTCCCAGGGAGACACTCTTCTGACAAGACATGCGGCGCTACGCCCTGGGAGCTGGAGATGCCACATGGACCTACCCTGATGCAGCCCTTGAACTGGAGGAACCACCTGGAGACCCCTGCGAGTGCTGAGATGCTTCTACCGCCTCTGACTTTGCACCCACTGGCCTGTGATCTTCCTGCATTCAGCATCATTGCATGTGTTGCGTAAGTCTGAAGAGGACTTCATAGATTGGTATCGGACATATGGGCTAATATTGCACTTATGGACTTGATTTGGACTGGGCTGGGATGTTTCCTCAATATTCAACTGTTCTTGTATATAAACCTCTTTCTTATACACATATGCATTTCTATGGATTTGTATCTCTAATCTACCTGGACTAACCCAAGACCCAAGACCCATCTGTAGACAATTGTACATCCCCTCACAGAAGGGTCACAAGGAAGCAAAAAGTCAGCCAGGGTGCAGCATAGCACCAACAAAACACACAACACTCTCTAGTTCTTTGATGCTTCCTCCCCCCACTATCATGACCCCAGTCCTACCTTACAAACCCAAATAGACCTGAACATGTACATTGGCACCAATAAGAGCTCTGGACACACAGAATCCAGGACAGATAAATCCCTCAAGAACAGTAATTGAGGGGGAGGGAGTGTAGAGGGAGGGGGGAAAATGAGGAGCTGATACCAAGGGCACAGTAGAAAGCAAATGTTTTGAGAATGATGA